TTGTATAATTGGTACCATCAAGGCCAGTGGCAAGCCTGGCATGTGAGGGCTGCAGGGCTCTGAACCAGCTGCTAGAGAGAGTCTTAGCTGAGAGCCCAGAGATATGAAAAGCTGTCAAACGCGGCTGGACAGGTCTGGACAGTTCCTTCCCGGTGGCCACATGGGCATCTGGAGGCGGCTCAGTGGTTAAGAGCATTGACTGCTCTTCTAGAGGACCCGGGTTCAATTCCCAGCACCCACATGGCAGCTCACAACTGTCTTGTAACTCCTCACATAGACATACATGCAGGTCATGCACCAATGCAAATAAAGTAAAAATAAATGAATTATTAAAAAAAAAAAGACTGAACTCTGGGCCACCTTAGCGTCTGAGAAAGGGGTTCATCCCTATCTCCCCCAAACCCAGCCATGGTGAAAGACCAAGATAGCATTCACTAGGCATCAGGGACAAGCTGATGAAGGCACAAAATTGTCCAGCCCTTTGGATAGGCCGGAATAAAATATCTAATAAAGCCAATCACTCAAGTGTGAGCTTACTATGAAGATGTAGGAATTGGCCTCAGAAGACACAGTCTTAGGTTCATGGTCTTGGAACACATGGGTCTTTTGTCACCCCAGACTCCCTTTGCCCCACAATCCAGTGACTCCGGAATATCTAATCTATAGAAAGAGATGAGGGGACAGAACACCAAGACACAGCTCAGCTGGGAACCACGCTCAGCCTGTGTCACCCATGGGAGCCACACAGCATATGTTCCACAGATAGAACCCAGGGCTGAGCACCCGCACTCCTGAAATGGAGGCAGGGGTGTGAAGCCATGTGTCTTGTCTGGGGACACATGCATCAGTACTTTGTGAAGACATGGAGAATGTCACCTCTGAGTGTATTTTCCAGAGAAATGGCTGGGGACTTTTCCTAAGTGTTCCTGTGGAATAAATGACCCATCGGAACCCCCCACCCCCAGCTTAGCTGGAATTCATAAATTCCACGAACAGTTTTATAGCTCCACACTGCTTCCCTGGCACAGTTCCCCACCTCAGAAAAGCTGAGGGCAGCTGGCAAGAGGCAGCCACCTGACCTCAACACAGGCTTCCAGCAGTGACCCATACGCCCAGCCCTCTCTCATTGTAGAACTCACTGCTGTGACCTTGGATTTCATCCTTCCTCGGGTGCTCAGCACTCCCTGTCACCCGAGGACTACAATGTCGTAAAACGACAACGTCACTGAACAAAACTACACGCCAACTTCCCAAGAAGACGCTGTATCATATTCTGAGTCTCCCTCCCTAAAGCAGAATTTGACCAAGTGCAGGCACTGTCCTGTCCCCAACCACACTTCAACCAGCAGAGTCCTCCGAGTCCAGGCTGCAAAAGTCTTTATCAGGAACACCCTTCGTGACACAGGTGACCATCTCAGGCAAGGCCATTAAGGACAGAGCCTCCTCTGGAAC